TGTCTGACGACGGAGGTCAGAAGGAAGGCGTCAGGTAGAAAACTGGCGACGAGCGGAGGTCCGACATTGGGTAGAAGTCCGACGTCAGTCGGCGGCCGGGGAGAACTCCAGTTTTAAAAGGTATTCGTGTAAAACTCAAGAGTCACATGGAGATCAGACAGAATTTCGGCGTCACTTGGAAATCGGGCAGAGTTTTAGCATCACTTGAAAGTTGGGCGGAACTCCGACATCACTTGAGAGTCGAACAGAACTCCGACGTCACTTGAAAGTTTGGCGGGACTCCGACGTCACTTGAAAGTCAGACGGAACTTCGGCGTTACTTGAAAGTCGGGCGGAACTCTGCTAGTGGTCGAGGAGGAGTTTCTTCCTTCCTCTTCTTCTCTTCTATTCTTCTTCTCCTTCTTCATTCTTGCTTCGTCTTTGGGTCCCCTCTTAAGAGAAATGAGGGGTTATTTATAGTTTGTTGAGGATGGCATGACCCATAAATAGAGGGAGGATCAAGGGCAAATGTGGAGTGGTTTGGATGGACGGTCGATATTGAATCCCTTGATCGTGGATCATTCGTCAGACATTTGAAGATCTTAATGATATCGGAATTTGGCGATCTTGGGCTCGTTAGATTCGTCTCGTCGACCTGTTCAATTCTACTATAAGCATGTCATGTTTTGAAACCTTTTGGTAATCCAAATTGTGGTTTCAACCTTCCAACAACGCTTCGGGTCTTCGATTCGGACCCATTTGGGCTCAGATTGAGTCGAATTTGGTGCCGTTGGTTTCATATTTCTTAGACAATCAGTTCGATTGTAAGTTTGCTAAAATCGGAGTTCATATGATCCTAGATTTAATTTTTGAAGTTTCCAACTTAATTTTTTCCTTGAGATTCATGCCCGATCAAGATATTTTTTTAATGATATTTCAATAATGAAATGAGATAATAAAAGAATCCTAGATTTGAAATCGAACAATATTTAAATATCATATTCAATATAGTCTTTGTTAAAAAAAAAAAAAAAGATCATACATCTATTTCGATTTGCAAATGCTTCAAAAATTTTCGTCAAAATTTATAATTCTTATAGTGACACATGTTACTTAATAATCTAAATATTGTTAATCAAATTAGGAGGACACCCTACTAACACAAAATATTTGTAAACTTTTAATCACAAAGATAGAATCAATATGTAATACTCCACTTTAGAAGCTAAAACAATACCGAATTATTAATCATCAGTTGTTTTACATAGTCTCACAATTTTTGTGGTCAATCTCATTAAAAAATAAATAAATTATATTAAACACTTTTCATATAGTTAAAAATAGTTCTAATTAGAGTCTAATGATGATTTGGTAGACTATTTTTATCAAGAAATAATGGATTAGTTAGATAAGCACATATAAAGATGGGGGCCACCTTTCTAAACAACTTACGTCAATTTCGAGTATGAGTGTGATTAACACTAACAATCAAAAGCTAATCCCCTTTTTAATTTTGGTGATTTCCACCAAACATATCGCTTTTCAATCTCCACACTAATCCCCTTTTTAGTTGTATTTCTTATCACCACTTTTTTAATATTATATGACACATGCATTTAAAATTTGAATAATATATTTGACTAATTCGTCCTTTATTCATATTTCTACTAAAAAAAATTAATTAAGATATTTATAGTTAATAAGTATCCACAAATTTTATTTGATTGACACAAATATTGATGTATTGTTGATATTAAAAATTTTTAGAATGAAATTTAGAATCACCGGAATTATGATTTTAACAAACTTACAGCATATGTAATTTGAATACAAATGAGTACAAATCAAGTACTTCAAATACAGTTTAAAATTTCACGACATTGATCGAAGATTTGGACATTCTCCAAAATTTTGCATGCTTATAGGCAAATTAAGCAGTTTGATGAGATGAATCTAATGATCCTAATATCAATCAATTTTAAGGTCGCTAATGTTAGCGTATATACATTAGTTAGCTTATCTTGTACCCATTGTAATTTACAACTGTATCCTCTACCGCCTATATTAAGGACCCTGTACATTGTTTTCGGTTAATGAAATTATTCTTTCCATTTTATTCTCTCTGCCTCTCCAGCAGCTCTTCTCTCTGTTTTCTTCTTTCTTCCAGTTCTTGATTGCTCTCACATGGTATCAAGAGCCATTTGATAGGGGATCAAGAATCAACTTCTTCTCTCCCACCCACCTCCACCAATCTCGCCGGAACCACCGCGAATGAACCCACAATTCCCGTCCCTCTAAAATTTCTTGTCTCAAACATCAAAACTCTTCTTCCTCGCCCTCTTACCACAGACAACTACCCGATTTGGAGAATTCAAATCCTCCAACAATTTACAGCCACCGGATACGCCGGATACCTCACCAGAGCAACTCAGCCACCGCAAGATACTACTTCTCCGAGCCATGGCACCTGGATGCTTATAGACAGCACGTTAATCTCTGCATTGTTCTCAACTATTTCACCCAGCATACTCCCATATGTGATCACAGCATCCACAGCTAAAGATATCTGGACGACGCTCGAACGTCGCCTACAGCCGGCCAGCCGCTCGCGAGTTATGCAACTCAAGAACGAGCTGCACCACATCCAAATGAAAAATTTGACGATGCAGCAGTATCTCACTCAAGTCAAGACCATCGTGGATAACATAGCAGCCTCCGGTTCAAAGATCGACCCTGAGGACATTATACTTTACATACTCAATGGTCTACCCGCTTCCTACAACTCCTTCAAGACGTTCATCCGCTCCTCCCCTCTACCGGCCGACCTCGACTCTCTCTACTCACTCCTCTGTAGTGAAGAGATACATGTGAACCAAGAACTACTCAAAGAACCGGCCATAGATCCCTCAGCACTGTATGCCACTTCCTACAATCAATACAGAGGTCGGTCCCAACGTCGACCTCCCAAGAATACCAAGAATCAAAGTTCAAATCAAACGTCTCAACCACTGAATTCCAGTCCCGCAAGCAACAACGACAACAACCGTCCCACCTGCCAAATTTGTGGCAAGATTGGCCATCTTGCGATCAATTGTTGGCATCGCTGTAATTTTAAGTACGCGCCGACCACCACATCTCCTCAGCGCGCCATGCTCGCCCAACCAGCCGGACCAATGACGCAAGATTGGGTTCTCGATACAGGAGCATCTACACATCTTACTCCGGATAACAGTAACATTCAACATCCACAAAACTACTACGGTACTGATGCTGTCTCGGTAGCGAACGGATCCTCCATGCCCATTCATCACTCCGGGCAAGGACTCCTCCCGCTACCAGACACACCTCGTAAGCTACGCTTATGCAATCTCCTTCACGTTCCGTCTCTCACACATAACTTGCTTTATGTTTCTAAACTAACGGATGACAACTCTATTTCAATCACTTTTGACGCTAATGGTTTTGAAATGAATGATTCTCAGGATCATCGCCTGCTTCTACGTGGTCGTTTTCTTAACGGCCTATATCACATCAGCACCAGAACAGCCGGCCACCATGAAGCTCTCATCACCAACGTGTCTACCTCTTTGTTATGGCACGCAAGATTAGGACATCCCAACAATCGGATTCTAGCTAGTCTAGCGAATAATGTTCCAACGATTCATATGCCTTATAAGAACTTCTCTTGTACTTCTTGCATTGTAGCAAAGAGCCACAAGCTCCAATTTAATAAAAGAAATTCTATCTCCTCTTCTCTGTTTGACTTAATTCATACAGACGTATGGGGTCCGGCCCTAATCATATCTACTGCCGGATTTCATTATTATGTCATTTTCTTAGACGATTGCACTCGATTTACATGGATTTATTTCATGCATACAAAACAAGAAACCTTGTCTAAATTTAAAATACTATGCAATCTAATTAAAACTCAATTTGGTCGTGTTCCCAAACAGCTACAATCAAACGGAGGAGGCGAATTTACAAGTATTCAATTCAAGACATTTCTTCAAGAACAAGGAATTCAACAAAGACTCTCCTGTCCACACACACCGGAACAGAACGGGACATCTGAACGCAAGCACCGGCATATATTGGAGCTTACCCGAACTCTGTTTCATTCTTCCAACATGCCAGCCAACTTCTGGCCTGAAGTCATCTCAACGGCTACATACCTCATCAACCGTCTTCCGTCTACAACTTAAAATCTTCAAACACCATACAAATGTCTTTACAGCAAAGATCCCACGTATGATCACCTTAAAGTATTTGGCTGCCTATGCCATCCATGGACTCAACCATACAGTCAGGACAAATTCTCTCCAAGATCCAACAACAACGTGTTTCTTGGATACTCTCCAACCCACAAAGGCTACAGATGTTACAACCTTGCCACTGGAAAGATTCTAATATCACGACATGTGGTCTTTCAAGAAACCGTTTTTCCCTATCAATCACAAACCTCAAGCAATCAGCACACTTCCACAATAACTCTGCAACACACTCCACCCCTACTTCTTGTTCCAACGTCTGCTTTACCCGTTCAACAGACTCCCACCACTACTACTACCACTACCCCAGACAACCCACCCGAGCCTACTATCACTAATGACATTATAACTCACAATCCTAATCTCGTTCCTCTCCCAGCCAAACCAATCACACGCCCAGCTCACCACATGCAAACGCGCTCCAAATCAGGCATTATTAAACCAAATCCACACTACTCTCTCTTGAGCGAACCCACCGATCACTCCACCCCTCTCACCTACAAACAGGCAAGCTCGCAGAAACACTGGCAGATGGCTATGGAAGCTGAGTTTAATGCTCTACAGCAGCAAAAGACCTAGACACTTGTTCCAGCTCCAGCCAACAAACGAATAGTTGGATGCAAATGGACATTCCGAACAAAAACTCTACCCAACGGTCAAATCGAACGATACAAGGCTCGACTAGTAGCTTTAGGATATGAGCAACGCTACGGGGAAAACTATAGCGAAACCTTTAGCCCCGTAGCAAAGATGCCTACCATACGCATGCTTCTTGCATTGGCAGTCAATCGTACATGGCCGGTCTTACAACTTGATGTCTCCAATGCTTTTCTACACGGCGATTTACCCGACAATATCTACATGTGCCAACCGCAAGGCTTCGTAGACAAAGAATCACCCAATGCCGTATGCAAATTACACAAATCCCTCTATGGTCTCAAACAAGCTCCTAGGCAGTGGTATCAAAAGCTTACAACTTTCCTACAAGACCGTGGCTTCCAATTCAGCAAATCCGACCCTTCTTTACTTATTCTCACTAAATCTCAAATTCAACTCTATTTACTCATCTATGTTGATGATATTTTAGTGACAGGAAACGATCAATCCACAATTCAAGAATTGCTCCAACTCGGGGAGATTTCCTTATTCCTTCACTCCAACTTTGCTCTCAAACAACTCGGGGAGATTTCCTTATTCCTTGGCATACAAATTCGGAAAACAGACAACGGCATCCTACTCACGCAAGAACACTATGCTCGGAAGATCTTAAACAAAGCAGGATTTGAGGACTGCAGAGCAGCTCCCACGCCCGTCACACCTACTCCCAAGCAAATTATTTCTGATATCACACAATTCTCTAATCCCTCTCTCTATCGTTGTATTGCAGATTCTCTACAATATCTATCAATCACACGACCGGATATTGCATATGCGATGAATCGAGTCTGTCAACACATGTCCAACCCAACGAATCAAGACTACAAAAATCTCACCAGATTGCTTCGCTACATCAAAGGTTCTGTCAATCTCGGCCTACCTATCACCTCTGGGAATCTACAACTTCAAACTTTTACAGACGCCGACTGGGCGTCGGATTGTACAGATCGAAAATCTATCTCAGGTTTTTGCACTTTCCTCGGACCCAATCTAATTTCATGGTCCGTCAAGAAACAGGTTACTGTGGCTAAATCTTCAACGGAGGCTGAGTACAGGGCTCTATCCGCAGCTTCCTCGGACGTTATTTGGCTTAGACGTCTAGCAACTGAGCTCAAACTTACCCAACAGTCTCCGACTCCAATCCATTGTGATAATGTTTCGGTAATTGCCATAGCAAAGAACCCAGTTTTTCATGCCCGGACAAAGCACATAGAGATTGATTATCAGTTTATACGACAACACATTGCCGCCAAGAACATCATCATACATCACATACCTTCTGCAGAGCAAGTAGCAGACATCTTTACCAAGGCTTTCACACCAACACGATTCAACATTCTACGATCCAAACTAACCATTCAAAGCCTGAATGCTTAGTTTGCGGGAGGATGTTAGCGTATATACATTAGTTAGCTTATCTTGTACCCATTGTAATTTACAACTGTATCCTCTACCGCCTAATTATACACATTATGTACAAGTTTATACATTTTACATACAAGCATTATATACACTATTTACAAGCATTATACACACTATTTATAAGCATTATACATAGTTTCTACAAATTTATTCAAACATTATACATATGCTATGTACAAGCATTATACAGACTATGTACAAGTTTATACATGCTATGTATAAAGATTTTACAAACTATGAACAAGTTTATGCACATTATGTACAAGTTTATACACGCTATGTATAAGGATTATGCACATCATATATAAGTTTAAACATAATATACACATAATTTGTACACACTATGTGTAAACTTATACATGCTACATTTAAGTTTTTAAACACTATATATAAGCATTATTGCGATGAACCAGTTAGGCGAGTAGAGGTATTAGATTTGATTTATGTTAAGAAAGGTAGGGGTAGACCTAAAAAGACTTGGTTAGAAAATATTAGGAATGACCTTTCTTTATTAGATTTAAACGAGAATTTGACTTTTAATAGGACACAATGGAGACAAAGGATTCATGTAGCCGACCCCACGTAGTGGGATAAAGGCTTGATGTTGTTGTTGTTGTTGTTGTTGTTGTTGTATTAAAAAATTATTTTATAAAGCAGCAAGAAAGTTATCTCAAATGAAATATTAGGCTTCATTTGGGACAGCTTTCTTACTACTTCTTAAAATAATTTTTTTGTACTGAAAAACTGTTTTAAGAAGCGGCAAAAAAGCCGTCCCAAATGAAGCCTTAGTCTTAGGCATCGTGTGGAATAACTTTTTTGCTGTTTTCTAAAATAATTTTCTAGTTCAAATTATTTTTAAAATCAACAAAAAAATAGTGGCCACAAGCTATACCAAAATGAAGCCTGTATCCAATTTATGTTTGACACAAGCAACGCAGAAGCATTCCTATTTAAAGAACTATAATATCAAATTTGGTAAGTTAATTACAAGTGATTATGAAATAGCATAAACAAAAATTTACGATATGATACGTAACTCATCTTGATCTGCAAGTGAAGCACTTTTGATAGAAGTTATAGGATGCATGATGAAGAAGATGGTATTTTTGTCATTTAAAATTTAACCATCATGGGCCTAAATAGTAAATTTTGAGAGTTAAAAATAAATAGGAGAATTTAAACTTCAATGCCCGAAGGTATGAAATTAAAAAGACATATTTGCCTTTTTCTCACCGAATCAAGTGAAAGAATGTAAGTAATGGCGAGAATGAGAAATCCTTACCTGCAGAGTCCAGACATAAGATGTAGCCTGCATTCGGACTCCAACTAAAATAGGTCATGTCCTGTAGATAGCTTGTGTACAATCTTATATACAGTGTACGTATAATACATACACTGTGTACACAGACGACGTAACCCTTTCGATTGGAGTCCGCACGTAATAATTTCTCAATATTGGGAGAGTAATATAGGGTTTAGTATGATATTATGCATCTTCCAGCAAGAATATTCAAACACAAAACTAGTTATCTCTTCCTGATCAATTGATATAAAAAATGCTCTCATTACATTAAAAATTAGAACAAACTGTGCTCTCTCAATATGAATAACAATACATTAGCCCCTACAAGATAAATATCTAAGCAATAAAGAGAAGTCTATGTCTTACACCCATTAATATACAAGGCAACTCATCTGAGCAATATTATTACAGGAAAGAGCTCTAGGGTCAGCCAATTTTACCTAAGTTCGCAGGAACAATTGATGGCACTAGCTGTTTCAGTCCTCTAATTGAATTCAACCGACTGAAAAAAAAAAAGGAGAACTCTTATTCCCACAGACCTCTTGAAGAAATGAATTGTGAAAATGCAAATCTAACACAAATAATTTTGCAGGGTTAAGAATGATGGGTTCCATTCATTAATCCAATCTTAGTTTTGCTGGAACTTTTAGAAGCTTTTATACGTGATATAAGAGCTTCTCCTTGACTGCCCAATCCGTTTCTCCCAACCAGTTTTGTGCCAAAGCTACGGTACAGTAGATTCAATCGCTGCTCATCTCCATCTATCCCAGCAAGCTCTAAAACTTGTTTTTTTGAAATCAAGCCGTAGAGAAAAAGCAAACCTGATCCCTGCTTTCTCTCACCAATTCCCACTCGTACCAATGAAATGGAATCAGAATTCCCTGGAGTTGGATCATGGAGAGCTGAAAAACTACCAAAAGATAGGTCAGGAGACTTGAACAAATTATCCAAATCCATGGCTTGCTCCACATTGGCTTTATCCACCACCTGCAGCTTGGATTTCGCAGCTGCCGTAGATATGTTAGCTGCCTCTCTGAAGCCACTGAGGAGAGCTCCATGCATTGTAGCAGGATACCTCCTGTTTGTTGCCTCTCCAGCGAAGAACACCCTGCCATTGCCAATGCTCTCTGCCAAAATATCATAATCATCACCAGATGACCCAACAGCCACATAAGAATATGATCCATATGTGAACTTATCTGCTCCCCAACGAGTGCAAACAACCTGTAATGGATCAGGAACCTGAATTCCCTTGGGAGCGAATATACCTCGAAGAATACTGAGAGCTCTTTCGACTGGTTCAGTTGGAGGAGCTTTCTCAAAAGTAATGGCTGATTCACCTGCAACAAGAGCAACTAGAAGAGGTCCGCCGGAGACTGAAGAATAGCTATAGAAGAGAAAAAATTCTCCTCTTTGACAGGAATCTCCTGTCAAATGTCCGAAGGTGTCGATTGAGCCACCCCAAAAATCATAGGGAAACAACATTGCCACTTTATTCAGTAACCCGAAGCCTAATCTATCAATGGCTTCCTGTTTCTGTGGTGGAAGAGGGGGCACAAACTCAATAACCCCCTTTTTAAGAACTCCTAGTGATACAGTGCAGAGGGCCATATCACCACGAAAGGTCTGCCCATCAGCATAAACCATGACTCCATCACAACCATATTGAATTCTGTTTACAGTTTTGCCGTAAAATATTGGAATGCCCTCTGCGAGAGAACGTATAAAGTGGCCATTGCCACCAGGAATGAAGCAGTGATCACCGCCCATCTCATAAGGGTCATCCTGGTCCCAGAAGGCCAAGGAAAGGTCAGAGAGAAGAGCAGCATTGGCATATTCAAGGTTGGCAAGATGCCAATTCAGAAGCATTCGCTCCTCCGGCGGCTCAGCAACGCCGTAAACCCGGCGGAAGGCCTCAAGGGCTTCACCTAGAGAGACATCAACAGACTTCAATTCATCCATGATAGCCTGCCGGAGCTTGCAGACCTTCTCAAGCAGTTGATTGAATGCAACTTCGATTCTAGAATCGACCGCGCGATCAACAGGCCGACCGTCTGGGAGGTAAAGCGGGCACTTATCGCGGACCTTGTGAAGTGGGAGGCCAAGTTGGCGCGCGAGCACACCGAGGGGATTTCCGTTGATGCCAGTGAGGACACTACCCCCAAGGTCGGCGGCGGCGACGACACCAGCGCCATGCATCTTTCTGGTGAGGACACGACCACCGGGGCGGAGACGGCCCTCGAGAACGATAACCTTGAAACCTAGCGAGATTAGGTGGCGGGCAGCACCGAGGCCGGCGAAACCGGCACCAACGATAATTACGGAGGGAAATGAAGCGGAAGAAGGCAGAGGAGGAGGATTGCGGACAATACCAAAATTAATGTAAGAGTATCGGCGGAGGAAAGAATGTGCGGCAGTGACGAGCTGATGGTGTTCGGAGCGGATTGCGGTGGCGGCTGCTTCTTCGGAGAGCCAGACGGAGGGATTCGTTCGCCAGCGAGCTACGATGTGGTTTCGGACGATGATATAGTTAGCCTGGGATGCACCTCCGATGATTGGGATGACGTTAGACTCGATCTCCTCCTCAATTAGAGAATCAACCGGAAAACCGACGGAGATCGCTATTTGAGCCTCGACGTCAAGGTCGCGGGCAAGGCGGGAGGACGAGGACGAGGGGATACGTCGGGAACGGGAGGAGGAGGAAGCGGAGGGGAGATCGTCGTCGGCGATCTGCTCTTGGAAAAGGTCGTCCATGTTCTTCTCGTTGTAAACGACGCCGCCGCTTGAACGGGAGGAATGTTGCCGAAGGGCGTGGGAAGGAATCATCCCTGGGAACAACTTCTTGCGGCGACGGCGCTTCAGCAACGGTGATGTTGGAGGTTCACCGGCGGCGTTAGGTAGAGGGCTAGGTTGTGAAGGGTCTCCAGTGAGGGTAGGATCGGAGTCATTTTCCATGGATGTTCGCCGGTGGGACCTCAGACGCTGCGCCAAAATTCGATGAAGCGGTGAAGAAAGGTTTTAGGGTGATTTAGGCTTAATCCTTTGATAAATAAGAGGCAGTTTTTTAAAGTAGAAATTGACATGAATTTATTTTAATTTAATTTGTAAAAAAAGAAATTTATTTATTATTAAATATAGTATATATATATATATATAATATTTTTATAACATTTGATTTTGTAACATCTATCTTTTTACATTATTTCTAAGTCATAATAATGATAACCAATTATAAATCTTAATTGATGTCCAATATATAAGTTATTACTTAGACCAATTTTATCTTCCAAACCAATTTGAGCATCTTAGGCTCATATTAGATCTCATTAAGTATTCGAAGCCAACCACCGGAACACATCAGTATGCTTGTGCATGTGAATCATTTAGCTAACGACTATCATATTGGCGTCCAGACATGACCACACATCCCTTTTCCTAGAATTTTTGCACAGAATTGATTAACCAATCAAACCTCTTAGTTGATAACACGATGACTCGGTATCATCTTTGTCGTTGTCCCTCAGTACGCCTCAACATTCTCCCTTCAACTCACCATACCATTGTTCATTGGATGGTGCCAAAACCCTGGTTGATGTCTCAAACTTTCTTGCCAACATCTTTAGCTCCTAGTTGACACTTTACCTTTCCTCCCCATTCTCTAAAAAAATCACCCTTTGGTCAAACAATCAAAGCTACCCCTTAATACCTTATAAATGAACCCTAGGATGGTTGAATTATTTATTTCATTTAGTTTTAGTATTGACAAAATTGGTTGCATATACGATTTCAAATATATCCCAATTTGGCTGTGTTTATCTCCTCAATAATGACTCCCTGCTCCCCCACTACTTGTTTAGCGCCTTAATACCCTCAACTCCTTGGCTGATGAGCCTAGTTGATAACATTCTATTTGTTTTTGACCACCTTTAACAAATCAACGCCAACCATTGAGCTCGTCGAAGCACATTTTACCATGTTTTAACCTATAGGTGAAACATGTACTCAAGACCAATCAGTGCTGAAGGACATAAAAGACCACATGTTGCTCTTAGATGGTTGCAACAGTCTTTGGAGTAGCCATTGGGAAATCCACAATCCCCTTATAAAATCCCATAGGCTAGGACTGTGTATAAGACTATTCATAATGGTTAAAATTTAACTTATATAAAGGAGTATGCTCATATCCCCTTCCTTCATCTCTTGCTTTTTAGGTTATTCTTGATGGGTGAGGTAGAATTTTTCTATATAACATACTATTTTTCTTATATACTAGACTTCACCCTCCCTATTATATCATAGACATAGCTTATAAAAATGAATAACATAAAAACTTGCTATTCTTCTTCTCCATCTATTATAGTTGATGACACAAAATGGTGTGCTTAATGACACTTTAAACTTTATTTGAAACTATATTGTGTCTTCAATCTATTTATAATTGCATATTATCCCAAGAAAATCTATTGCACTACAAATTTTGCACTTTTTGTTTTCTAGATAGCTCCCAATCTGTCAACCATATCTTTATCATTTGTATCCATATTTAATGTTTGAGTACTTGATTTTCATCAACCTGATCACATGACGTGATGATTCTTATGCATACTTTTTAGAGAAAATAGAAGAGCTCATTATAATACTCCAACAAACATATAATAAAATATAAAGATAGTTTGTGGTGTTAGAACAAAAGCTAGGTTGGTATATCAGCACCTCTCAAAATAGGATTGATCTAGTTCTTGAACAACAAACTAAGGAATAAGAGGTTCACCCCATTGATCCCTTTCCTCTTCCTCCCCCTCCTACCGCCTATCCATATCTCATGTGGCCCCAATATCATCTTTATGGTTTAAATCATTTGAATAACTTTAATGATTATCATAAGAAGAATGGTATATTCCTTTGTCCACCTTATTGTGTGGGATGACAACTAGGATGAGATTATTATGCCCTTGTGAATACTACCCTTGACATTATGAGGGGCCTTTATCTAATATGGGTCAATATTATGTTGTCCCACAATATATATCGAGAACCTGATGATGATATCTTTCAGAGAGTCAAAACTGATCTTGTCATAACCTAACTTAATAGAACAGATCCTATCATGTTGAGTTGGGATAGGTAAATCCCAAGATCTTATTTTAAAAATATTTTATATTCTCTTCCAATATACATTTAAAACAAAAAGAGAATAAAGAACTACTAAAACATCAAGAGTATTGAAGATAAACTATTCCATAAAATCTCTTTCATTTCATCAAAATCTATATAAAGGATCTACACTACAATATATAGGTAAATTATAGATAACATAGCAAAATAAAATCAAAGCTAGTCATGATGGCAAAAAAAATCAAAATAAAGAAATACTTATATAGACTTAAATCAATTCTTGAACTGCTAATCAATAGACTCCTTCCCTTTTCTAGATCTTAAAAATGCAATGCAATACTATGGTGAGTTACAACAGCTCAGAAGGAGACAAACATTGATCTAAATTTCTAAAATTATTTCTTTCATTAAATATTTTTATAATATTTAACATCATTATAATAATTCACTATGCTAAGAAAATTAATTAGAACATATCAATTATCTAAAGATTCAAATAATAATATTGAGCAGTTAATTAAATTGAAATTCATATTACATAATAGTTAATATCATAGATTTATCTAATATGAGATGGAAGTTCATAGGATTTTAGTAATTCAAGACTCTCAATGTAATTTTCTCCTCTTTTAGACAATATCTTGAGGGATTCTAGCCCCTTTGACTCTAAATAGGCATGTTTTCAAATTTAGATTCTCGATCATAAATAGAATCTTAAAGGAATATTGCCCTTTAGTCCCAACAATTTTTTTTTTTCATATCAAAACTATTCAATATCACATAATTCAATCTCATATATACATTTATGAAAAATCCAACATCCGGAACAACCATTTATTGCTTCATTGGATGAAAGGAATATTGCCCCTTTATGTTTATATTTGAAGAGCAACAATATAATTTTGCTTGTATGAAATTAACTGGTCATGTCAAGACATATTGTATTAATCTTATATAAAAAATCCAACATTCATAACAATCATTTATTGGTTCACTAGATGAAATAAAAGAGATTGAAAAACAAAGTTAATTATAAGCCCTTGAGTTTTCATAACCATTTAATGGATAAGATGACCATACTCTGACAATGATCAATCGAGTATTTAATATGCTTTGATAAGCTTATGACTCATTGTAATGTGAGAGAGGATCATCGTATTACAAACTTTAAATTTTGACATGGCTTATGAATTGATATCCATCATGAAATATTAAGTATTTTCTTGAGAGGATGTATTTCAAATTTTCATCCATCTGAAAGTAGTTTCAAACAACATCTAATGTGTTGCACCTCATTAGCTCCTAAAGGGCCCAATGATCCTGACTGAAAGGTAGACATGTCAATATTGGACTCGACCTAAAAATCCGACCAGAAAATTTTAGGTTTGGGTTGACACGAACCTGAAGCGGGTCGGGTTCGGGTCTGGAAAACCAACCTGTTTATAAAATTGGGTCGGATTTGGGTTGACCCGGGAATGACTTGAAATACCCGGAATGAGGTTCTGGCTGGCCCTGCCCGCCTGCCCCAGCTGCCTCGCTTGCCCTGGCTTCCCGGCCGCGTTGGTGCGTCGCGTCACGAGTCGCATCCCGAGGACAGCATCGCCGCATGCATCCCAAGCTTACGTCCCGCTCGAGTGTCGCGTTGCGCGCCTCGGGCTACTTTCGTCGGCATCGAGTTCGTGTCATAGGCTGCTTTCGCCGGCTTCTACTGCTGCCGGCCGTCGACCCAGTTTTCCTGCCAACCCGTCGTTGCAGGCGTTGTTGTATTCGCGGGTCGGGTCGGGTTGACCCGAACTCGAAGCAGGTCGGATTCGGGTCCAGAAAATCGATCCGTTTTAAAAAAATAGGTTGGGTCGACCAGAACCCGAATAGTGCTGGGTCAGTTTCGGGTTCGACCCGAACCCGACCCGTGACCCGAAATTGACAGGTCTATTGAAAGGCTCCACCTAGAATATCTAGCTCTACGGCCTCTAGTGTCACTTATTTTACATGTGAAAATAATAGCTATTATGCAAGTACTTTCCATCAACGGAACTTGCACTTAAGAGTGGAGAAAATATGAACTGAAGTGTGTCAAATTTTCATACTTCTTTTAAGAGTGGAGAAAATACTTGTAAACTAACTATTGATATGCATTGTGTATTGACAACCCACAAGCAAATATGAACTGAAGTGTGTCAAATTTTCATACTTCTTTTAAGAGTGGAGAAAATACTTGTAAACTAACTATTGATAGTGGTAGCTACATGAAAGTTATAGATGCCTTCACTTTGATTAGGATGAAGCTCACCTCATAGCCTCATCCAAAACCATATAAGATCATTTGGGTAGATAAAACCACTATCTTGAAATGCTTCTAGAGTTGGTATTGATGGAATCCTTGAGCATGAAGGGCATCCAATGGATTTCTTTAATAAAAATTTAAATGATGTGCATCAATGTTATTCCACGTATAATCGAGAGTTTTATGTTATCATTAAAATTTAACTTTATTGGATGCAACATATACTCTCATGAGAATTTGAATTCTAATCCAAATATGAAGCTTATAATTATGGCTCTCAGTCTTTTCTCCTATCAAACTATACAGTGCCAGAGTGCTCAAGTACACATTGCTGGACTACTTAGGTACATATAGCGCTCTCGGGTACACAACGCTGGGGTGTGCAAAAAAAAAAAAAAATCAGTGACAAAGTTCTCAAGCAAGGGAAAGACCGCCGCAACTTGCCAATAAGCAAGACAAACTAAGTTGAGGTCCGTCGAAATAATACAACCCGATTGATCGACACAATCAAATTTCACAGAGACTAACTTAAAATATAAAAATTAATTAATTATTCATATATGATACTACTTTTAAAATAAATTTAAAAAAGTTAAAACTCTTTTTAACTAAATTTTAGTTAGAACTGAAGGAGAAAACC